TTTGCCTAGGGTTTAGGGTTTAGGGCTTAGGGTTTGCCTAGGGTTTAGGGTTTAGGGCTTAGGGTTCAGAGTTTAGGGTTTAGGGTTTAGGGCTTAGGGTTTAGGGTCTAGGGTTTAGGGTTTAGGGAGCTCAAGGTGGCGGGTTCAGTATTATCCGTGTCTTGAAGCGCGTTGCTCTTGGTTCAGGCTCCACTTCACACGAAGCCTGGAGTCTCCTGCAAGTCCACGTCCACCGCACTTCCCCCGGTGTTTGCCCCCAGAAAATCGGTGGAAAGCCAGGATTCCTCTCTGTAAACCCCAGACCCTCACCTCCAAACCCCTTAATCTCTTGCCCCCATGCTCTTAAACCCTTCTGCCCCAAAGCCATCCAACCCTTGAACCCCTATGGTATCCCCAAAACAGAACTGCAACAGAGACTATATAGGTAAGCTTCCAATGAACTCAGACGGCATCCACCCTGAACCCTGAACTCCAAAAACCACAGACACCCCCTAAACCCCTAACCCCCGAACCCCTAAGCCCCTACGAAACCCTAAAACGAACCTAAACCCTAAACCCTGTAACCCTGCGGCGCATTGTTTCTCCCGGGATCTCGGCCCGAACCGGGGTGCCTGAGAGCAGACGCAGTAGAATGAGAGCTCAAGTAGGGCGTAGGAGCTACGACATATCGGGTTTCTGGTTCAGGGAGCTTGTATACTTGGGTTTAGGGTTTTTTTTTAGTGTAGTGGTTTAGGGTTTGGGGTTTAGGGTTTAGGGTTTCGGGTTTGGGGGATTAGGGCTTATAGTGTTTAGGGGTTTAGGGTTATGGCTTCTCAGATTTGGGGGTCCGCTGGCTTAAGGGGGCTCCTTGAGCTCAGGGTCCCGGCGGGGGACGTGTGGGGACTCACATCTTCAGGAAGAGCCTGGGGCGTTTTGGGGATTTGGGGTTGCCCTTTTGCTGTAAACAAGGGTTTAGGGTTTAGGGGTTTAGGGTCAAGGATGTCTCAGGGTGGGTTTAGGGATTAGGGTCAAGGATGTCTTATGTGTCCTGTGAGTGTGCTCAGGAGCAGGGTACTTTCAAAGCTCCTGTGGGGCCTGGGTATGTAAGGCTACAACCAAACCTTCACCTTTCCTCAGATCGGAAAGCACGTCCCAAACCGAAACCCTCGAAGCTGCCAAAAATGAAGCCCTGCAATCCTAAGCCTAGCAACCCAAGGACCGCTTAGTCCCAAAGGGATGCGTTTGGTGTTGCAGCGCGGGGGCCTCGGCGCCGGCTTCTGCAACTGCGGCCAGCTGCCGGCATGAAGCCTGCGGCACAACGGGACGGGTCTTGGGTGTACAGTTGAGGGGTCTGGGGACGGCCTGGGGCCTCGGGCATAAACATGCGAAGCATCGACTCTTGGAGGCTGCCCAAGTTCGGGGACCTCGTCTGCTTCAGTCGAGGTCGTCAGCAAGCCCACATGAACCCCTGAAGCACGAGAACTGATGCGTGAAATCCCTATGGGTGCACGGATCCCACGCGAGGCCTGGAGATCTTGGTCCCCGGAAAGCCCCCGCCTCGGGCAGGGACTGGAAGCTCTCTGCCTCGAAAAACGGAGCATGGACTTGCGTCTTCAAGCTCCTGCATGTAGGGTGCAGGAGTTCGGTACTGTTCAGGGTTCAGAGGTGCGGCTCAAGCGCAGCGAGGCGCGACATGCAGCACGCAGGAAGCACGTGCACGCGGAAAGCTTTCGATCAGCTTGATGCGTGAGACAGGCATCACAAGTTGTCAACCCCAGCATTGCTTTCTGCTCCCGTCGAACTTTGCTTAATCCGCAAGCAGGCTCTGCTGCTCGCGCTGCCCCGCAGCTTGTTCCTTCTGCTTCGCGAAGTCGTCGATTTCGCGCTGCTTCGCTTCAACCTCCCTTTTGAGGTCGGGGTTCTCGGCTGCACATGCGTATATGGGATTGAAAAGTAACATTCCGACCACGATGCACATGTGCAAGGGAACAAGAACAACGGCAAACAACAAGAGGCAAGTGTTAAATATGGTAGATGCACTGCTCAGCTCGCCGGTTGCCGGCCAGCCGCAGTCGCCAAACCCCAACTCTTCGGTCAAAGACATGGAGGTCGCATTGGCCTCCGGTTCCACGGAGATCCAGAAATGAGATGTGAAACAGGCAATAGCCTCAAAACAAGCCGCGGCCGGCTCCAGGAATTTTGCCCGGAGCACCGGGAGGCCCATGGGGCGCGACAGCGACCCCAGGGAAACAAGGCCGCGTGGGAGATCCAGGAAGCAAAGGGCCGTCCAGGCTATGAAGCGGACAAAGATGCAAAGCGCTGGAATCCATCCGGGGCCCTTTGCTCCCCCCGGTGCTGTTGCTTTGGGCTTGAAGAAAATGTTCGTCTGGAGACCTGCCATGGCCAAGCCAACCCCGAGGCAAGAGAAAATAGCTTCTTCGAGAAACTCCGGCGATCCAGCAAACCAGGCTGCTGCGCCGTTCGCCACTGCCCCGAGGAGGTACCCCGGCATCGTGACGAGCGGGTGCAAGACGGCGCTCGCCACTGCAAATGCCGCCAGCTCCGCAGCATAGGCGGCCCCGTACCAGACGGAGCACATAGCGGTCTTGAAGGGACGAACGGCTTTCAGTGCATACACTTCTGCATCCGCGCCACGTTTTACCTTGCAGGGTCTTGAACAGGGCATCGGCGCAAGATGCTACCACGACTTGCATGCGGAGCTTCTGAGACCGCTTTAAACTCCAACCCCTAATTACGGCTTCTTGATCATGCATGTTCACTCTCTCCCCAGCAACGCCTCGCCTCTTCCTGCAGTTTGCCCTCGGCCATGGCCTTGGCGGAGCTGTATAGCCCATAAAGGCAGCTGGCTGCCTGCAGCGGTGTCAGCTGGAGCAGGGACGCGCCGTAAGGGCCGATGAGCCCCGTGCTCGGGGCTTCGACGGTTCGCTCAGCCCAGAGCATCCCCTCCCAAGTCTCGGTCGGCACACCGCGGGCCAAGCAGAGCCGGGCTTCGCCCAGCGGATCGAACCGCTTCAGGCTGCTCTTTTCTGTCATCCACGCGACCGTGGGCAAAGAGCTGAGGAGCACGAACAAGGCGATGAAGCCGGCAAACCACCAGTCTCCGTGCAGGAGAAAAGTGCCGATCTGCACCAGGTCGTTCAGGAAGTCCTGGGCAGGAGGGGGGCTGGGCCTCGGGATGTAGGCCTTCCACATGCAGGTACGCTAGAATAGCACCTCCCTTTCGACAAACGATCCTTACAGCAAGGCCGAGGCTCGAATAGGAACATGGCCAGCTGGAAGAAAATCCCTGAGGGTGGGCAGATACTGAAGGCGAAGGTGGGCTTGTAGCCTTCGGGGATAGGGATGATAGCCATTGCGTGTACGAAACCAGCTAACGTGGGCTACACGTCGCGCTGCGGCGGGCTGTGCTTGCTCGATCCCAAGATGCTTCGCAAGGTGCGAGGCAGGCTCTTGACTCCATGACGGCGCCATCGGCCAAGCTCTTTCACCCTAGAGTCTCCGAGCCGCTGAAACCCAAACCCGGATGAACAGGCTCTCGGCTCCTGCCTCAAGGAGCCCCGGACGCGCCCGGTCTGCAGCCCTGCGCAGGTGCCGCCTCGACATGCGGTAGCTTCACGTTGGAGCTTTGGGGATCTCGGCTTACCGTAGTTGAAGGGCCTCAAGTTTGGGGCTCAGGATTCGGGGTCTACAATAGGTAGGTTTTGGTATTGTCTTGTCTTTCAGGCGTCGGATACGGCCGTACGGCACTACCCTATGAGGGGGTTGGAACTATGTCCCGAACCTGATTACAAAGTTAAACGCCAAAAGGAAATCTGAAGGAATTAGGTGATTCGTGTGAAATTCTAAGTCTATAGGTTACTGATGGTGCATAGTACCCCATCCCTGCCGATCATCCGGAAAGAAACGCTTTTACTGGTCGGTCCTTTGCCGGAGGAGTTCTTTCGAAGATGTGGCGGACAAATTATGACTCCGACATTTGGTGGTCCACCTCTTCTTGAAGTTGCCGAGACGAAAAGAAGCAAACAGGACCCATGTGCACACTTCACGACACCGAGCTATGCTTAAGTGGTTGTCAAGATGGGATGTCAGCTTTGCCATGGAACAAACATGCAGGATTGAGGAACGGGAAACTTAAAGAAACTACGTTGAATCTCATCGGGTTTGGTATTCTTCCGGTTTCTCAGATTTAGGGTTCGGGTGTCCAGGCGGAAAGGGTTAGGGGGATGTAGGGATGAGAGGCAGAAGGGCTGGACTCTAAGGTTCCAGCGTGCAGAGTTGCAAAGCTTCGGCGGATTGGAAGGTTTCGGGGGGCAGAAGGCTCAGGGTTCGGGCTGTGGCGTGCGGTTCAGGGTTGAAGGCTTCAGCTGCAGAGTATCATGGAAAATAGGGATCAGCAACCGACCTCAACTTTGATTAGAAGAGGGCGGGCCCACTGGCTTTGGGGGCTCCTTGCACTCAGGGTCCCGGCCGGGACGTGTGGCAGCATCGCGGCTTGGGTTTATAGGATTCCAAGCCTTCAACTTCCCCAGTTCAGGAAACTGCGTCTGGAACCCTGAACCCGGAACCCTCGAAGACGCAAGAGAATAAAACCCGAGAATCCTAAGCCAAACAAACCCCGAAAACCGCTTAATCCCAAAAGGGATGCGTTTGGTGTTGCAGCGCGGGGGCCTCGTCGCCGGCTTCAGCAAATGCCGCCAGCTCCCGGCACAAGGATGAAGCCTGCGGCACAACATGACGGGTCGTGGGTTTACAGTTGAAGTACGGGTCTGGGGATGGCCTGGGGCCTCGGGCATAAACATGAGAATACATCGTATGAAAACAGTGGACTGCAAGTCTACAGGAACTCTGCATGAACACTGTAATCCAGCTTGGAGGCTGCTCTTATCTGCTCTTTAGTACATCAAGTCTCAGGACACTCGGGCCAGCCCGTGTGGTGAAGGCCCGGAGGAACAGGGGCCAACTAGCAGAAACCCCAAGCGTACTCAAAACCCCCAAGTCCTGCCCGCCTGCAGGTAGAAAAGCCTCCCGCCTCGCTCTCCGACCTTCCGCCGCCGACTCCTCGGGGGCTTTAGGGCTGAGGAGTTTCAGGTTTAGCATTTAGGGTTTGGGCTTGGTTTGGGCCTGCGACCGGGTCGGAAGTAGCTTGTCCCTGTCTCGAAGAAGAAGGGAAGCACATAAAGACATGCAAATTGGTGTACCTCGTACTCAACGCAACAATGACCACATAAATACCGAAGGATTGACAAAGAGGCAAGGAGTTTGGCAAACTTTCTTCGGGAAGGTCGGCATCTCGAAAATAAAGCCTGAAACTCTTTGCAGGGACCTCCTCCCAGTGCGACGCGCGGCCGAAGCCGGTGATCGTCCGTGTTAGGGCCAGCCTGCAACGGGGAGGGGTCGCAACTCCCAGATTAAGGGCTGAGGCTTCGGAATCTGAAGGCCTTCAGTAATGGCTTCGCCCAGGGTCGGGTTTGATCGGCCCACAAGCACTACATCAGAAGGTGGCTTCTCAGAGCTGGGGATGGTTTCGGTGATTTGATGATGTCACTGCGGTCCTAGGCCTCAAGTTCGGAGATCTCGTCTGCTTCAGTCGATGTCGTCACTAACAAGCCCACCTGAACCCCTGAAGCACGAGAATTGATGCGTGAAATCCCCATGGGTGCACGGATCCCACGCGAGACCTGGAGATCTTGGTCCCCGGAAAGCCCCCACCTCGGGCAGGGACTGGAAGCTCTCCGCCTCGAGGAACGAAGCATGGACTTGCATCTTCAAGCTTCTGCATGTAGGGTGCAGGAGTTCGGTACTGTTCAGGGTTCAGAGGAGCGGCTCAAGCGCGGCGAGGCGCGACATGCAGCACGCAGGAAGCATGTGCACGCGGAATGCTTTCGATCAGCTTGATGCGTGAGACAGGCATCACAAGTTGTCAACCCAAGCATTGTTTTCTGGTCCCGTCGAACTTTGCCTAATCCTCTAGCGAGCTCAGCTGCTCGTACGGCCCCGCAGCTTGTTCCTTCTGCTTCGCGAAGTTGTTTATTTCAAGCTGCTTCGCTTCGACCTCCCTTTTGAGGTCGGGGTTCTCGCTGCGCATGCGTAAATGGGATTGGAAAGCAACATTCCGATGACAATACACATGTGGAGTGGGACAAGAACGGCAGCCAAGGAGAACAAGCAGGCATTGAAGATGGTGGATGGTGTGCTCAGCTCGCCGGTTGTCGGCCAGCCGCAGTCGCCAAACCCCACCTCTTCGGTCAAAGACATGGAGGTCGCATTGCCCTCCGGTTCCACGGAGATCCAGAAATGAGACGTGAAACAAGCAATAGCCTCAAAACAAGCCGCGGCCGGCTCCAGGAATTTTGCCCCGAGCACCGGGAGGCCCATGGGGCGCGACAGCGAACCCAGGGAAACAAGGCCACGTGGAAGATCCAGGAAGCAAAGGGCCATCCAGGCTGTGAAGCGGACCAAGATGCAGAATGCACCCGGGACCCTTTGCTACAGTTGCTGTTGCTTTGGGCGGGAGGAACACGTTGGTTTGGAGGCCTGCCATGGCCCAGCCAACCCCGAGGCAAGAGAGGACAGCAGCCGCGAGAAACCACGGCGATGCACCAAACCAGGATGCTGCTCCGTTCGCCGCTGCCCCGAGGAGGTACCCCGGCATCGTGATCAGGGGGTGCAATGTCGCGCACGCCACGGCAAAAGGCCGCCAGCTCCGCGGCATAGGCGCCCAAGTACCACGCGAAGTACATGGCGGTCTTCACGGCGAACGGCTTTCAATGCAACCACATCTGCAGCCGCGCCATTGCACGGTCTTGAACATGGCATCGGCGCAAGATGCTACCACAACTTGCATGCGGAGCTTCTGAGATCGCTTTAAACTCCAACCTAATTCCGGCTTCTTGATCATGTTCACTCCCTCCAACAACTCCTCGCCTCTGTTTCCAGTTTCTCTCGGCCATGGCCTTGGCCGAGGAGTAGAGCCCATAGAGGCAGCTGGCCGCCTGCAGCGGTGTCAACTGGAGCAGGCAGGCGCCGTTGGGGCCGATGAGCCCCGTGCTCGGGGCTTCGGCGAGTCGCTCCGCCCCGAGCATCCCCTCCCAAGCCTTGGTCGGCACTCCGCGAGCCAAGCAGAGCCGGGCTTCGCCCAGGGGATCGAACCGCTTCAGGCTGCTCTCTTCTGTCATGAACGCGACCGTGAGCAGAGAGCTGAGGAGCACGAAGAAGGCTATGAAGGCTCCAAACCACCAGTCTCCGTGCAGGAGAAAGGTGCCGATCTGCACCCAGGTCGTTCAGGAAGTCCTGGGCAGGAGGGGGGGGCTGGGCCTCGGGATGTAGGCCTTCCACATGCAGGTACGCTAGACTAGCACCTCCCTTCGACAAACGACCCTTACAGCATGACCGAGGCTCGAAAAGGTATATGGCCAGCTGGAAATAAATCCCCGAGAGTGGACAAAATTTGAAGGCGACGACGGGCGTGTAGCCTTCGGGGATAGCCATCGCCACTGTGGAGCCCTCAACGTGAGATGTCACCTCTGAGCTGCGCTGCGAGTCGGACTCAGACTCAGACAAGGCTTCAACATTCTCCCTCCTGTGCACCATGAAGCTGGGCCACTAACGCGGGGCTCTGCACCACTTGTGCCGGCTCGATCCCAAAATGATTCGCAAGGTGCGAGGCAGGCTCTTAACAAAGCTCCTCCGTGACGACGCGATCGGCCAAGCTCTTTCACCCAAGAGTCTCCCAGCCGCTGAAAAAGAAATGCTTTTACTGGTCGGTCCTTTGCCGGAAGAGTTCTTTCGAAGATGTGGCGGCCAAATTATGACTGCGACATTTGGTGGTCCACCTCTTCTTGAAGCTGCCGGGACGAAAATAAGCAAACGGGACCCATGTGCACATTTCACGCCACCGAACTATGTTTAAGCGGTTGTCAAGATTGGATGTCAGCTTTACCATGGAACAAACATGCAGGATTGAGGAACGGTAAACTTCGAGCTTTCTGAACGGAAGCCTTTCTGTGCGCGACAGGCGTCACAAGTGGTCGGTCTCGGCACTGCTGCTTGGCTGTCAAGCAGCTGTCGAGACTTCTGCGGCCTACTGCTCGTGCTGCCCAGCAGCGCTCCGCGAAGTCGTCGATTTCGCGCTGCGTCGCTTCGACCTCCTTGAGGCTGAGGTTCTTGGCTCCAGCTTGGGGGTAGGTACGCTGTCTCGGGCTTCAAGGCTCTGGATTAGACGTAGCTTTTGCCGAGCCACGCTGGGGATGCTTTTGCCGAGCCACCGACATCGGATCACCACGCCTGCGGCAGAGGCAAACGAAGCCGGCTCTAAGGCACAAGGACAGAGTGTGCGTGACGGGAGCCCCTCAACCTCGAAAGAGGTTCCTGCCAAGAACCGCACTGACGGCTCCCGATTCCTTTCAATCCACCTTACACCTACTCTTGGGCTTCGGAGCTTCGGGGTCCCCAAGGTCTCACAATCAGGGCCCAAGAGCCACGTTTTATGAACCTTAGCAGTGCCGAAACGGCCCGATATACTGCCCGAATGGAACTCCAAGAGCCTTTTAAACGTGGAGGAAAGCTGCGGCTGTCGGGCTGAGCTCTGCCAGGTGAGCCAGCAGCTCCACGCACCGCGCACTCCGTCCGCCACACTCCTGGCAGACAGCTTATGGGTTTAGGGTTTAGGGTTTAGGGTTTAGTGGGCTGGGGGCTATGGCTGGAAAGTCGGACTCCTTGACGACTCAAAAGCAGAAGCATTCTCTGATTGAAGGGAGCTCTACTTGGAAAAGACTGTCAGGTGGCATGGGCTGTTTCTGATTGAACGCTTTGTCTCAAATCTGTCGTGTTTCCAATTGATGCTCCCTTACGGCTTGGGTGGGCCCATCGCAAACTGGCGCAAGGAACTCACTCCAACGAGAACCCGTCCTACCACCGAGCTTCGCACCTACAAAAGTTCTCAAAATCCAACGGACCGATTGAATCCGGGGTCCGCCGCATCCACAGCAGCCGCTAGCGCCGTGACGTCGGGGCGCCTGGGTTGGTTAGGGTGCTTAGGGATTAGGCTCGGAGTTTGGAGCTGTTGCCCTAAACCCCTAAACCCTAAGCCCTCAAAAATTAGGTTTGGGGTTCAGGAATTAGGCTCCTTTCCGGTGAACCCGAGAGCCTCAAAAACACGCCGAGCAGGGCCCTGCTAGGCTTTGGAGAGCCCTTGAAGCGCCTCTGCTCCGCACCCCAAGCCCACCAAGTCCAAGACCTCATGTCCCAGCTGTCCCCAAGCCCCTTAAACCCCGAAACCCCTAAACCCCATTTTGAAAAAAGAAAACCTTGAATCCAAAAGCTACCCACCCCCCACCCCCCCCACCCCTTAGAAGCAATGATGCCATGCCCCAAACCCCTTGAACCCTGAGCCCTGAAGCTTTGCAGAGACCCTCTGAAATCCACGGATCTGCGACCCCTAAACCCTAAACCCTAAAGCCTAAACCCTAAACCCCGAACCCCCTAAACCCCATTTAACAAAAAAACACCGACCCCTGAGCCGAGCTGCAGCGACACCTTCGCCAGACGTTCGACCAGGGCCAGGGCAGATCGCCAGTTTTGGGGCCCTGCGGGACTGTAGGATTGACTTCAGGGTTTCAGGGCTGAGGGAATTGGGGAATATGAATATAAATAGGAATATAGATAACTTTAATAACTATATATGTATCTATATGTATATATGTATATGTATAACTTTTTATACATGTATATACGATATATCTAGATATAATCATGTAAGGGACTTACAGTGATACGGATGGTAAGGACATTGGGCAAGGAGGGTTGGGATTCACAGGTTGTGACGAAAAGGCTTGGCGCTTTCGGCCTGCGTCGCAGGTCTGCATCCTTCGGGTTTAAGCTGCTGTGTTTAAATGTTCGAAGTCTCAGCTGGGACCAATTAAATGCTTTTCCTGGGAGAACATGAAAAAAAACTGCTTCCCCGTTAGATATCTATTGCAAGGACATCGTCACAAAACAGAAACGTCTGTAACCCTCAGAGGCCATGCAAAGCCCAAAAGATCCAAACCACAAACCCTAAATCCCAAAACTCTAAGCCCCTAAAAACCTGAAAACCTTGCCTTGAGCCCCAGACCCCCGGCCCGTCAAACCCTTCAATACCCCGAACCCACGGTCTTAACACCCTAAACCAAGCTCTCCTTGAGAACTACCAATCTTGTCCCGAGGGTTCCTTTTTATGCTTCTGGTACTAGTATACTATACCCCCAAACATCCCCAAAACCCTAGATCCAAAACCCTAAACCCAAGCTCTCTGGGCAGATGCTCCTTGCGAGCCGGACAGCGCCGCGTTGCAGAGCATGCCCGTAAGCTCCACGCGGCCTGGCGGATGTCGGTGTGTGCTATGCACAGATTTGATGAATTCCCGATCTCTCTAAGAAGGGTTTGGTTTAGGGTTTAGGGTTTGAGGCTCGGAAACCGAGCAGGAGATCTACCTGTAGTCTCCAATGTAGATAACGCCACGTACACTCTCAGCTCTAGTAGAGACCGGTTGAACTCCAACTGCCCAACCAAGCCCCACAGGCAAGACCTCGACCCGGAAGCGCCGGAGCCCCACAGCCCGCTTGAAAAGGGAAACCCCCGACAGTTCCTGCGCTGCCGTCGCACAGCAGCTGAAGCGCGTGAGCCCACCTTGCAGCTGAATCTGAGAGTGTAGGAATGTTAGGTCTTAGGCGTCCCTTCACATGGGAAGCTTGATGTGCGTGGTTCTCTGAATTGGGTTGTTGCGCGGGCCAAGCAGCCAAAAAGGGGCCCTGGCTTGACGAAAGGCTCCAAATGAGGCTTTCGAAGTGCACGTTTAGGGCAAGGCAGGCTTCTCTGTCCTCTGACCAGGCCCAACAACGCAAAGCCACACAACTTGCCTAGGCCGTCCTTGGCAGGACCGAGCTGCTTTGCGCTCTGTGCGCAAGCGGCCACGGCGGCGGTGGTGGCAACCAGTGAGCCAGCCTGGGGTGTCCTGGTATTCCAGTCTTACAAGGTGTTTTGCAGAAGCTTCGGGCGCCCAACAATTAGAAACGGCGGGCCTAGCACTTAGCTTGAATGCATTTTGATGGTTTTGATGGACTTTGACTGAGGCGTGGGGCGTAGGCTGTCGGCGGCTGTCGGGGGCTTTCGCCTCTGGCTCTGAGTGGTGTGGACAGCAGCCCTTATCATGTTCGCAAAGAACTTTGTAAACTCGAAACTTGCGCTGTAAAATTTACGGCCTTAAATCTTAACACAACACCCTCAAACCTACGAGCTTTGCTGCAAAACCCTGTGCAAGCCCGCTGCATTCCACACCGGTCCGTCGGAAGCCCGCGAAAACGGCGAGCGCCCGGATCCACGCCTTGGCTTTGGCACCTGCAGGGCATATCTGAGAAGGCTCCTTCCAAGAAGGAGCGGCCGGGGTCTTTCTTGCACGGGCTTTCGGGTTTTAGGGGCTTAGGATGAAGGGGTTTCTGATAGGCCTCATAAGAGAGCCTTACCGAGGTTGCTCAAGGGCGTCGGCTTGAGACTGGTGTTTAGGATGACATGACAGGGCGGTCGAAAGCTGAGGCTGCCACTGAGACCAGGGTCACATGCTTTCGAGTCCGTCCGAATTCGGGATGTCACATGTCGAAACAATTGTGTCAAGATCTAAAAAGCCATCACAACGATCCCTAAGCAAACCGTAACTCCCTAAATCCTCAAGACACAGTGACAAGAAGGCCCAGGCGCATCCGCTGACCACGGCGCTGACGGAGAAGGCATCCGGAGTGAGACGCTTGGCCACGGCCTGCAGAGAACCAACGGTGTTCCTGAAAGTCTCAAAGGGTCTGCACCCATAGGCCCTAAAGTTCATATATAGCAACTAGCTGACGTTTTTTTGGCAGGGTGTTGGCTACACTCTTTGATTCGCTGGCGGAGAAAAGCTCGCAAGCTTCGTACTTGCGTGGAAGACCAATGCACCCCATGAGTTCCAAAACTCAGAAGCTAAAACCCGAAGACTCTCAAACCTAGAACCCAAACTGCGGCCTAAATCTGAACGCTCACGTCTTTCTAAGCTCCACAACAAAACTGCGTCACGTGCACCCGTTGATCCCTGAACCTGAAACAAAAGTCGCAACCGACATCCTGCATCTTGAGCCGTCCACGTACACGATGCACCCAAGGTGCTACCCCAAAAAAGCAAACACCGAAAACTATGTGAATCCTAGGCTCCCTTCCTCCGGGCAGCAAGTGAAACCTACCATACCAAGGAAAAAACAACTAGGGAAATCCTAAGCTCCCCTTCTCCGAGCACTACGTCCTCGGCAAACAGCAGAAGTGCCCGAAACCAAGCTGCACCCTGGGCATAGAAAGCCGCTTCTCTGCTTTTTCTCAGAGATCCAAGCCACCAAAGGTCACCCAAAAATACAGCACAGGGGCCTTAGTAATTAGAATATAGGGTTTCGGGGTATCTTATACTAGAATTATGTTTATAATAACCCCCCAAAACAATCCGAAGCTTCGAGCTGAGACTGAGGAATCTTCGACTAAAGGGTCTCGCAGGTTCAGAGTCGTCCCGCGCCTTGCTGCAAGCACTCAGGGCAGCGTTCAGGGCCACGTCGTCGTACCTCAGGGGCCAAAACCGCAACGAACACCCTTGCCGTTCGAAGGGTAAACCGGGACCTCGAGGGGGACGACTAATGTAGGGGCCTTAGTAGATGAAATAGGGCTTTGACGGCTCCTTATCATAACTATACGAGAAAATATCCCCAAACCTTATTCTACTTATTAACGCCCCGATATTGCACCATGTGTGCTTGCACCCATGGCGAGGCTCGATCATGGCTCTTCTCGCACCCTGAACTCCGAGTTTCTCAAGGATCGAGCCCCGAACCCCCCGGGACGCCGCTGGAAGGTTACAGGGGACTTTCGGCTTCGAGATCTCCTAAGAGCTGCTTCGAACTCGAAGACCTGAGAATTGCAAAGGAACACCGAGGAGAGCTCTCTCCAGGACCTCCGAAAGCCTCATTAAGGGTTTTAGGTTTAGGGTTTAGGGTTTAGGGTTGAGGGTAGACCGAAACGGATGAACACATGTCAGACCCTGAACCGCATTGGCCTGAAGGTAATGCGCCCAAGATTCTTGAGGCTTTGTTGCCCTCTGCTCGGTTTTGACTTTACGGCAAAAGGGTTGAGGCTGCAACGAGGCCGTCAGATTTTTCAAACTGAGGGTGTTAGGGTTTATATAATTTCGATCGGGCTTGACATCTAGGAGTCTGGGGCCCAGGGTCTAAGCTCAGCTAAGCTTGAGGATTTGAAGGGATTCACGACAGGCTGATCATCGGTTTGGGAGCGACCCTCTCACCTCGAAACATCTACGCCCCCCAAAACCTCCACCACCAGGCCTCGATAACGATGCGTTTCCGATGTCGGATCCGGTCCAAGGTTTGGCCAAGCCACGAACTGCAGTCCCAAACCCGATTCTCTAAATCTCGCAACCCGAACAAAGGGATCGGAGGTTTTTTCTCTGCCATCCTCGCCCCTGGAAACACCCGAGCTCTCTTCGCCTCTGGCAGGAAGTTCTCCGCCTCCAGGACACAAAGGGAGCATGGACTTGCAACTAAGGAGTCTCGGAGGCATCTTCATCACGTCTTCCGCCTTGCGCATGACAAGCTGTCAACCTCGGCAATGCTTTTGGTCTCCGGACAGCTTCGGACAGTCCTGTATCGATGGAATGACACCAAAGTGTCGACGGGGGAACTTGCCCAATCTAATCCGGAAGCAGGCTCAGCTGCTCAGGCTGGCCGCCAGCTTGCTCGTTCCGCCTGGCGAAATCATTGATTTCACGCTGCTTCGCTTCCACCTCCTCCTTGAGAGGAAGGTTGTCAGCTCCGCATGCATAAGTGGGATTAAAGAGCAACATTCCGATGACAATACACATGTGGAGTGGGACAAGAACAACGGCAAACAACAAGAGGCACGTGTTAAATATGGTAGATGCACTGCTCAGCTCGCCGGTTGTCGGCCAGTCGCAGTCGCCAAACCCCACCTCTTCGGTCAAAGACATGGAGGTCGCATTGGCTTCCGGTTCCACGGAGATCCAGAAATGAGATGTGAAACAAGCAATGGCCTCAAAACACGCCGCGGCCGGCTCTAGGAATTTTGCCCGGAGCACCGGGAGGCCCATGGGGCGCCCCAGCGACCCCAAGGGAGCAAGGCCCCGCGGAAGATCGAGGAAGCACAGGGCCGCCCAGGCTGTGAAGCGGACCAACATGTAAACCGCTGGAATCCACCCGGGCCCTTTTCCTACAGTTTCTGTTGCTTTGGTCGGGAGGAAACTGTTGGTTTGCAGACCCGTCATGGCCAAGCCAACAACGAGGCAAGAGCCAACAGCATTCCTGAGAAACTCCGGCGATCCAGCAAACCAGGCGGCTGCGCCGTTCGCCACTGCCCCAAGGAGGTAGGCCGGAATCGTGACGAGCGGGTGCAAGACGGCGCTCGCCACTGCAAAAGCCGCCAGCTCTGCGGCACAGGCGGCCCAGTACCAGACGGAGCACATAGCGGTCTTGAAGGGGCGAACGGCTTTCAGTGCAGCCACACCTGCTTCTGCATCCGCGCCACGTTTTACCTTGCAGGGTCTTGAACAGGGCATCGGCGCAAAATGCTACCACAACGTATTGCATGCGGAGCTTCTGAGACTGCTTTCAACTCCAACTCCTAATGACGGCTTCTTGATCATGCATGTTCACTCTCTCCCCAGCAACGCCTCGCCTCTGTTTCCAGCTTGCCTTCGGCCATGGCCTTGGCCGAGGAGTAGAGCCCGTAGAGGCAGCTGGCCGCCTGCAGCGGCGTGAGCTGGAGCAAAGCCGCGCCGTAGGGCCCGATGAGGCCCGTGCTCGGGGCTTCGACGAGTCGCTCCGCCCCGAGCATCGTCTCCCAAGCCTCGGTCGGCACTCCCCGAACCAAACAGAGCCGGGCTTCGCCCAGCGGATCGAACCGCTTCAGGCTGCTCTCTTTTGTCATGAACACGACCGTGAGCAGAGAGCTGAAGAGCACGAAGAGGGCCATAAATGCGGCAAACCAATAGTCTCCGTGCAGGAGAAAGGTGCCGATCTGGAGGAGGTCGTTCACCATGTCCTGGGCAGGAGGGGGGCTGGGCCTCGGGATGTAGGCCTTCCACATGCAGGTACGCTAGAATGACACCTCCCTTCGACAAACGATCCTTACCGCAAGGCCGAGGCTCGAATAGGAAGACGGCCAGCTGGAAATAAATCCCCGAAGGCGGGCACAAGCTGAAGGCGAAGACGGGCACGTAGCCTTCGGGGATAGGGATGATAGCCATTGCGTGAACGAAACCGGCTAACGTGGCCTACACGTCGCGCTGCGGCGGGCTCCGCGCCACTTGTGCCGGCTCGATCCCAAGATGCTGCGCAAGGTGCGAGGCAGGCTCTTAACAAGGCTCCTCCATGACGACGCGATCGGCCAAGCTCTTTCGCCCTAGAGTCTCCGCTGAAACCCAAACCCGGATAAACAGGCTCTCAGCTCCTGCCTCAAGGACCGAAGGACGCGCCCTGTCTGCAGCCCTGCGCAGGTGCTGCCTGGACATGCGATAGCTTCACGGTTGGAGCTTGGGGGATCTCGGCCTACAGTAGTTGAAGGGCCTCAAGTTTGGGGCTCAGTCTACAACAGGTAGGTGCTGGGATCCAGGGGGCTACCACTGGGTTATGCTTCTTTTTGTACTGTCTTGTCTTTCAGGCGTCGGATACGGCTGTACGGCACTACCCTTTGAGGGGGTTGGAACTATGTCCCGAACCTGATGGCAAAGCTAAACGCCAAAATGAAATCTGAAGGAAATAAGTAAGTCTAGGTTACTGAAAGTGCATAGTACCTCATCCCTGCCGATCATCCGGAAAGAAATGCTTTTACTGGTCGGTCCTTTGCCGGAAGAGTTCTTTCGAAGATGTGGCGGCCAAATTATGACTGCGACATTTGGTGGTCCACCTCTTCTTGAAGCTGCCGGGACGAAAATAAGCAAACGGGACCCATGTGCACATTTCACGGCACCGAACTATGTTTAAGCGGTTGTCAAGATTGGATGTCAGCTTTACCATGGAACAAACATGCAGGATTGAGGAACGGTAAACTTCGAGCTTTCTGAACAAAAGCCTGTCTGTGCGAGACAGGCATCACAGGTGGTCGGTCTCGGCACTGCTGTCTGGCTGTCAAGCAGCTGCCGAGACTTCTGCGGCCTACTGCTCGTGCTGCCCAGCAGCTTGCTCGTTCCGCTCCGCGAAGTCGTCGATTTCGCGCTGCGTCGCTTCGACCTCCTCCTTGAGGCTGAGGTTCTCGGCTCCAGCTTGGGGGTAGGTACGCTGTCTCGGGCTTCAAGGCCTTTTGATCAGACGTAGATTTTGCCGAGCCACCGACATCGGATCACCACGCCTGCAGCAGAGGCACAAAAAACAACGGCTCTAAGACACAAGGACAGAGTGTGTGTGACGGGAGCCCCTCAACCTCGAAAGAGGTTCCTGCCAAGAACCGCACTGACGGCTCCCGATTCCTTTCAATCCACCTTACACCTCCTCTTGGGCTTCGGAGCTTCGGGGTCCCCAAGGTCTCACAATCAGGGCCCAAGAGCCCCGTTTTATGAACCTTAGCATGCCGAAACGGCCCGATATACTGCCCGAATGGAACTCCAAGAGCCTTTTAAACGTGGAGGAAAGCCGCGGCTGTCGGGCTGAGCTCTGCCAGGTGAGCCAGCAGCTCCACGCACCGCGCACTCCGTCCGCCACACTCCTGGCAGAGTGGACGGCTTACGGGTTTAGGGTTTAGAACTCAAAAACAGAAGCATTCTCTGATCTAAGGGAGCTCTACTTGGAAAAGACTGTCAGGTGGCATAGGCTGTTTCTGATTGAACGCTTTGTTTCCAATCTTCTGTGCTTCCAATTGATGCTCCCTTACGGCTTGAGTGGGCCCATCGCAAACTGGCGCAAGGAGAACTCCAACGAGAACCCGTCCTACCACCGAGCTTCGCACCTACAAGAGTTCTCAAAATCCAACGGACCGATTGAATCCGGGGTCCGCCGCATCCACAGCAGCCGCTAGCGCCGTGACGTCGGGGCGCCTGGGATTTTTCAGGGTGCTGAAGGATTCAGCTCAGAGTTTGGGGCTGTTGCCCTAAACCCCTAAACCCTAAACTCCCTGAACTCTAGACTCCCTAAGCCCTAAGGCATAAGCGCCCTCAACTCCCTAAACACCTAAACCCTGAACCCTCAAAAAAATATGGCCCTGCTAGGCTTTGGAGAGCCCTTGAAGCCTCTGCTCCGCACCCCAAGCCCACCAAGTCCAAGACCTCATGTCCCAGCTGTCCCCAAGCCCCTTAAACCCCGAAACCCCTAAACCCCGAAACCCCATTTTGAAAAAAGAAAACCTTGAATCCAAAAGCTCCCCCCCCCCCACCCCTTAGAAGCAATGATGCCATGCCCCAAACCCCTTGAACCCTGAGCCCTGAAGCTTTGCAGGGACCCTCTGAAATCCACGGATCTGAGACCCCTAAACCCTAAACCCTAAACCCTAAACCCTAAACCCCGAAACCCCTAAACCCTGAAACCCCATTTAACAAAAAAACACCGACCCCTGAGCCGAGCTGCAGCGACACCTTCGCCAGACGTCCGACCAGGGCCAGGGCAAATCGCCAGTTTTGGGGCCCTGCGGGACTGTAGGATTGGCTTCAGGGTGTCAGGGCTGAGGGAATTGGGGAATATGAATTTAAATAGGAATATAGATAACTATAATAACTATATATGTACTCTATATGTATCTATATGTATATATGTATATGTATAACTTTTTATACATGTATATACGATATATATAGATATAATCATGTAAGGGACTTACAGTGATACGGATGGTAAGGACATTGGGCAAGGAGGGTTGGGATTCACAGGTTGTGACGAAAAGGCTTGGCGCTTTCGGCCTGCGTCGCAGGTCTGCATGCTTCGGGTTTAAGCTGCTGTGTTTAAATGTTCGAAGTCTCAGCTGGGACCAATTAAACGCTTTTCCTGGGAGAACATGAAAAAAACTGCTTCCCCGTTAGATATCTATTGCAAGGACATAGTCACAAACAGAAACGTCTATAACCCTCAGAGGCCATGCAAAGCCCAAACGATCCAAACCACAAACCCTAAATCCCAAAACTCTAAGCCCCCAAAAACCTGAAAACCTTGCCTTGAACCCCAGACCCCCCGCCCGTCGAGCCCTTCAATACCCCGAACCCACAGTCTTAAAACCCTAAACTAAGCTCTCCTTGAGAACTACCAATCTTATCCCTAGGGTTCCTTTTTATGCTTGTGGTACTAGTATACTATACCCCCAAACATCCCCACAACCCTAGACCCGAAACCCTAAACCCAAGCTCTCTGGGCAGATGCTCCTTGCGACCCGGACAGCGCCGCGTTGCAGAGCATGCCCGTAAGCTCCACGCGGCCTGGCGGATGTCGGTGTGTGCTATGCACAGATTTGATGAATTCCCGATCTCTCTAAGAAGGGGTTGGTTTAGGGTTTAGGGTTTGAGGGCTGTGCGACTCGGAAACCGAGCAGGAGATCTACCTGTAGTATCCAGGGTAAATAAAGCAGCATATACTCTCAGCTCTAGTAGAGACCGGTTGAACTCCAACTGCCCAATCAAGCCCCACAGGCAAGCCCTCGACCCGGAAGCGCCGGAGCCCCACAGCCCGCTTGAAAAGGGAAACCCCCGACAGTTCCTGCGCTGCCGTCGCACAGCAGCTGAAGCGCGTGAGCCCACCTTGCAGCGAATGTTAGGTCTTAGGCGTCCCTTCGCAGGGGAAGCTTGAAGCGCGTGGTTCTCTGAATTGGGGTTGTTGCGCGGATCCTTGGGCAGCCAAACAGGGGACCTGGTTTGACGAAAGGCGCCAAATGAGGCTTCCGAAATTGCACGTTTTGGGCAAGGCAGGCTGCTCAGGCCCTATAAGCTCTAGACTGTCTGTTGACCAGGAGGCCCAACAACGCAAAGCCACACAACTTACCTAGGACATCCGAGCTGCTTTGCGCTCTGTGCGCAAGCGGCCACGGCGGCGGTGGTGGCAACCAGTGAGCCAGCCTGGGGTGTCCTGGTATTCCAGTCTTACAAGGTTTTTTGCAGAAGCTTCGGGCCCAACAACTAGAAACGGCGGGCATAGCACTCAGCTTGAATGCATGCTGACGGACTTAGACTGAGGCGTGGGGCATCGGCGTTAAGAGGCTGTCGGGGGCTTTGGCCTCTGGCTCTGAGTGGTGTGGACAGCAGCCCTTGTCATGTTCGCAGAGAACTTTGTAAACTCGAAACTTGCGCTGTAAAATTTACGGCCTTAGATCTTAACACAACACCCCAAAGCCTACAAGCTTTGCTGCAAAACCCTATGCAAGCCCGCTGCATCCCACACCGGTCCGTCGGAAGCCCGCGAAAACGGCCAGCGCCCGGATCCACGCCTTGGCTTTGGCACCTGCAGGGCGGATCCGAGAAGGCCCCTTCCAAAAAGGAACGGCCGGGGTCTTCGTTACATGGGCTTTCGGGTTTTAGGGCTTCGAATGAAAAAGGAATGGCCGGGGTCTTCGTTACAGGGGCTTTCGGGTTTTAGGGGGCTCAGAATGAATGGGCTTTCTGAAAGGCCTCATAAGAGAGCCTTACAGGGGTTGCACAAGGGCGGCGGCTTGAGACTGGTGTTTAGGATGACATGACAGTGCGGTCGAAAGCTGAGGCTGCCCCTGCGACCAGGGTCACATGCTTTCGAGTTCGTCCGAATTCGGGATGTCACATGTCGAAACAATTGTGTCAAGATCTAAAAAGCCATCACAACGATCCCTAAGCAAACAGAAACTCCCTAAATCCGCAAGAAACATGACAAGAAGGCCCAGGCGCATCCGCTGACCACGGCGCTGACGGAGAAGGCATCCGGAGTGAGACGCTTGGCCATGGCCTGCAGAGGACCGAACGGTGTTCCCAAAAGTCTCAAAGGGTCTGCACCCATAGGCCCTAAAGTAGTTCCTTTTGGGGGTTCATATATAGAAACTAGCTGACGTTTTTTTTGCAGGATGTTGGCTACACTCTTTGATTCGTTGATGGAAAAAAGTTCGCAAGCTTCGTACTTGCGTGGAAGACCAATGCACCCCATGAGTTCCAAACCTCAGAAGCTCAAAACCCGAAGACTCTCAAACCTAGAACCCGAACCGCGGCCCAAGACCGTTCCCATCTCAACCTTTGTCCTACAACTGCAGCGCAAGTCGCCGGACACTTCCAACGACATGACCCCAAGTAGCAGGATCCTTATATGAATACCACCTCCAGATAAGGTATGCTGGCGACTGTTCTGAAAGCCCAGCTATCCCCCAAACCTGACTTGGCGTGCCTGCTCTAGGAGCAGCAGGGCCTCCTTCCAGGCATTTGCCTTCCTTGGCTCGGAACTCGGAGGGTGTTGGCTTTGAGGGCCTTTAGGGGCTGCTGGTCTTTTTGAAGTGTAGGGCTTCCGGGACTCTTTGCAAATGGGCCAGCGCTCTTCTGTCTATCACCACAAGTGCGCATCCATGTTGTCATTCTGGTAACAGTTCGTGCCGTGAGGTCTTTACTGTAGTTGTGACGTGTGACTGTTGTCCGCAGTGTTGTACATAACTTACATAATCATACAAGGACTTGCAAGACTCTAGAAGGGTTCGCTAGGGTTCGTTCACAATGTGTTGAAGCTAGAAGGAATTGCAGCTGTGGCTTTGGAAGGGTTGGGGTTTGGACTCAAGTTTGACGGATTTCGGGTGTCGGGCGGAATGCCGGCAAACAGTACCTGCATGATGTACGTTGACAACAGGGCGTGCCTTTTGCAGCTGCCCTCGGTGCGAGCAAGAAAGATGACGGAATGTGCATGAAGTTTCGGCAGTTCTAGTTTTCTGGATCCGAAAACAGCGGGACCCTAAAGTGGAGCCCTGCATAGTCGAATATTTGATACTAAGTACACAGAAGGTCTAAACGAAACCAGATCTTTGACATCGGCTCGAGCAGCTCGCATGTGCTCATGGCGGCGTTGTAGGAGATCAGCGTCGCCTGTGCTTTGCAGGTGCTTGTGACTGGGAGGTTTGGGGGTTTAGGGTTTAAGGGTTTAGGGTTTTGGGGTTCAGCGAACCCCAGATCCCTGAATCCACAAAGCCCCGAACCTTCCGAAAGCCACCCATGAGAGTCCTGCCTGCAAGCGCTCAACTTCCAAAGCCGCCAGGAGCATCAGCGCCCGCTGCCACTGACGTCCCTGCCTGGCTAGGGTGAGGCTCTGGGCGGGCTGCCAATGCAAAATGCAAAATTTGCAGCAACAGTTTTCCTGGGATCTTCTGAACATTATGGGGTTCTGCGTTCTCTCCTAAACCCTAAACCCTGAACCCTGAACCCTAAACCTATGTGAGTGTTGCAAAGCTCTGGGTCTTAGGATCTTGGCAATTTAGGCCCAACCTGAGCGCTTCGGACGGTTTTAGGCTTTAGGGGTGTTCAGGGTTTTAAGGTTTTATAGGGTTTCGAATTTAGGGTTTAGGGGCTCTGAGACTCCTTGTTTAGGGAAATATAGCCCCTCAATTCTAGAGAGGTCCTGAAGATGATATAAGGAATCTTTCTCAATTAGGTTTTGGACTCGCTCTCTACGAACTCCGCTCCAGAAGGGATAGTGAAACTTCAAACCTTACCGGCTTCTGAAGCTTAGGGCGGCTACCTTGTCTGAAGGGCCAAGGACCCTACCTAGTTACTACTTGGGGTCTATCTCGGTGGCAAAGAAAAAATGCCTACATTCGATCATGCCCAGCCGCTCGCAGGCGCTGATGGCCTTGGCACAGCAAAAAAAACTCCCAAGTCCGTGGTTGGGGGTTTAAAGTTGGCTCCAGGCTTAGAGCATCTTAGAGCTGGGAGGTGTGGAGCTTTGCAGCTTGCGACTTCGGTGCTGTCCAAACCCTAAACCCTAAACCCTAAACCCTAAACCCGTAACAGCGCAAAGGTCAATGGATTCCGGCTGCTCACACCCAAAGCCTGCCTCCTACATCGGCAGAAAGGATCCCCCCCCTCCCTGAAGTCCAAGGGAACACAACCCAGGTTCAGGGTCAAGCTCGGATTTCGGGCGGGGTTCGGGCTCGTGGTTGAAGGCTCGGTCCTAAGGCGCTTCCTGCAGCCCCTACACCATCAAAGGGTACCCTGTTCAGACAGAAAACAAGGCAACTGACAGAGAAGCATTCTGAGAATGCCACAACACTTTCTAGTTTGCAGCCTACTGAACGAAGCGAATCTCTCAAACCCTTTCTGTTCCAGTTCCCTGAACCCTTAACCCTAAACTCCAAACCTTGAACCCAACCATCCCCTAACCTCTACAGCAGATCATGCAATACAATACAATCTAGCATCATATCATATTATCTAATATACTATAATGAACCATGATGTACAATAAAATGCTCCAATGCAATAATAATTTTCTATGATGTACTATAAAACGCCGTAATAGAACGTGCTATCAGCTTCCCCGCCCAGGAGCTGCATTGTACGAGATCGAGTCCCTCGCCAATCTATCGGATGCCACCTTCCCAGGGCTGGATTCTGTGTGTAACGCCGAGGACAAACGGTTTAGGGCTTCGGGCTTTAGGGTTTTAGGGTTTATGGGTTTTACGGTTTAGGGGTTTAGGGTTTAGGGTTTTGCGGTTTTACGGTTTTAGGGGTTTAGGGCTTTAGGGCTTTAGGGCTTAGGGATAGGGTTCAGAGTTTAGGGTTTAAGGTTGTAGGTTTGTAACCACGGTCTACGGTTTAGGCTTCGGTGCTTCAGCGCTTCGTGTTCTAGCTCTAGGTTGCTGTCGGTTTCCGGTGTCTGGGACGTGGCGTTTCAGCGCCATCGGTGCTTCCCGGGGAAGGATGCAACGGCCCCAGAAGCAACCAAGCGATCACCTAGAAGCACACAAGAGCTTGCAAGACTTGCAGTCTCCAAACCCCCCCCCCCCACCCGGGCCACCCGATTCCCCAAATCCTGAAGTCGGAAGTCTGAACTCGGCCGGCTTTTGTTCACCACAACCCTCTCAACTGGACCTAAAGATAACAAGATCAAGACGAAGACGGCACCGTCAGTCTGAAAGCCGTGAAGTATGACACGCCATGAACTCGGTGGCCGCTCGCAGGTGCAGACTCTCAGAAGTCTCAGAACCTTCCCTGTAGAGCCTCTCATACACTCAGCACAACCCCAGCAACCTTAAGCTCCTTCACCCGCTTTGAAGCCTCCTTTAGGTGGTGAAGTGCCACCCGCCAGCGCCCTGCACGGCTGCAGGCACCTCCAGGTTTGGGGGCTTAGGATTTAAGTTTGGCATGTGGCATTTGCGGTGTACTTGTGTGCACCAGCTCTGGTTCAAGAAATCCATGAGCATCATGAGCATCAGCTGGCCATTGCGCTGCTCACTGCCCGGGCCACTGCAAGCATCATGCGCATCCGCCGGCCACGGCTCTTCCCAGTACACCGGCCACGGCAAGCATTATGAGCATCAGCTCGCCATTGCGATGCCCACTGCCGCGGCATCAGCTGGCCGCGGCTCCGTCCAATACACCTGAAACGGCAAGCAGCATGAGCATCAGCTGGCCCCAGCGCTACCCAATGCTGCGGCGACGGGAAGCATCACACGCAATGCGAGCTCAAGCCACGGGAAGCATCAGCTGGCCATGCCTCTGTCCGTCGTCACGAGCATCACGAGCATCAGCTGGCCATGGCCTTGTCCAAACCCCCGCCGCCATGTGCATCATGAGCATCAGCTGGCCATGGCCTTTGTCCAGAACCCCAAATCATGAGCATCAGCTGGCCATGGC